AGTACCCGAACACACACATAGAGTATGCCACACACTAACGTCTTGGTGATCTAGACAAAACAAGCACCTGTTTTATTTACCAGAAGAAAACTTTAGGTTGGGTTTTAAATTAAACAACGGTCTGTATTTAATGTTACGATCTTATCAAATAAAACCCAATTTTAACATACATTGACATTTTAACTCGTTATATCAAATAGTTTCCTAATCCGTACAGCAAATAGAAAGTATTTTCATTAACTTCTGAAAAACAAAATGGAGGCAAATTCTAACCGGAAAGGACATACTGCATGACGGTTTCTACTACAATTTACGCCACTTATCGTAATTCGCAAACACGAACTGACGTAACAAATGTCAACAAGGTCTCGCGTTCTAAAAGGAACGATAGAGAAGAATAAGACACGATAGATTTATTTGATGAATCAACTTTCAAGTGGAGTAGGACTTGTCATGCGGATCAAGTTGATGTGCATGTTGCCGCATGCATTAAAATCACGACAAATATATCGGTCATTCATTAATGGTGAACTAACAGTAGGATACTAGAAAGGCTACGACCTGTAGAGCAGTCCACTAAAAATAGGTGCATAAGTAGTAGTTATTAGCACACTTTCCGAGGTGTATCGGTGAATATCAGGACAGTTTTGGTCGAGGGGCCCAGCCGAGGCGGAGCCGAGGCGGCTACCGACCAAAACTGTCCTGATATTCACCGATACACCGAGGAAAGGTGCTAATAAGTTACTTACATCACATTTCTATCGAGTATTGTGAAGCAAAATGTGAAAAATAGTATTTATTATCGAGTCGTTTCAACCGAAAAGTGACAAATACTTTCTGCTCTTTCATTATTTATCCCTTTCTGAGCCTCACGTTACATTTCATGGTAGAATGATTTCGCAGTGGAGAGACGACCTGAGTAGTATTTACACGTGCGTCTTGCTATGATACTCTGAGCGTAAAACAATCACGTGTTTGTTTAGACCACATCGTCAAAACAACTTGTCTATGGCGTAGAGGACTGCGATATTATCAAATGTAGTGTAAAGGAAATGCGAAACGTGGATCATTCCTGGTGAAAGTATGCATCGGCGGATGGTTCTTCCGTTGAAATTTATTTGTAATAAAGTTTATGACTTTCTAGGCGGGTTTTTTTTTTCATCCTGCTTATTTTCAATGCCAGTGAAGTGTCCAGCAAGAGAACTGCGCCTTCTATCATCCCAATTAATTAAAATAATTATTCAATATTCTAATTTATATATTTTGCATAAAATATAAATCAAACCAAATTATGAAATAGATGCCAATTGATTTTTGTAAAATGTTTTTATGTTAATTTAATGTCATTGTATATGTTTTTGAACTGCCATGTAGTTCCCCCCATTTTGTTTTGTTACTATGATTTTGACTAGTTGTTTCATGTACAACGTGAAGAGCCATCGTTATCAATTGCGATCCGGGGCGGATTCAACGTCCGCTACTTATTGCTTGATAGGTATCTAAAACGGTGTAAAAGTATCCGTGTATCAGAAATGAACAGTACTCTTTCTGTACATTTCTGATACACGGATACTTTTATGCATGTATTGCAAATAAACAGGACAGTTTTATCAAAGGTTGCCAGTGGCAACGAGTAGAAGTGGGATGTAAATAAACGATAATGGTTCTGGTACTGAAGTGCCGAACAATGGGGTGATATCTTTAAGAGTGGTGGTTACTCCCCTGGCAAGCAAAGAACTGAAATAGGGTTTAACGTCCTACCTTTCTGCATAAACCAGGATAATTGAGACGGGAAATCCCCCCAGGAGAGTACCATGATACAAACAATGGTGCTACGGTCTACCCTTTTTTCTAACAGCCAAGTGATCTTTAAACTGCTAACCGTTCTGGGGATTTTTTTCTTTCTTTTAATAAAAAAAATGTTAATCCGGCAGCGCTGCTCTAACAGGTTGCTCATTCTCATTCTCTAGTTTAAAGCAGTTGTTAAATCTCCGAGTTATATCGATGTCCATGCTATAGACACTGAACAGAAATAATAAATAGGATGGCGTAAGGAAGTCTAACATAGTTCAGACTTTCCTCATGGTTACAATTTCGTTTCGTACATTTGTTCTGATAACATACTTGTTTTTTAGCGCAACCGTGTTATTTATATCCGGTCGTAGAAAAGGGCACCCGAACTGATTTAAATGTTGTTTAAAATTCCGATAATGGACAACAATACAAAGCTCGAAGGGAACCGAACGCTGTTTACAAAGAAATATGTCAGAACAAAACATGCATCCATTTCAATATTATGTAACAGATGAGCCCTTGTAAATTAGGAACATATTTTTGGTTGATTGCGCAAAATGCGACTCGAAATATTTTGGGTCAAGACGCTTGTATGGCTATTTTTTCGAATAAAATCTGAAAAATCAGTTATCAGTTTTTGAAAGAGTATCGTGATCAACCTATACATTCACTGGTAGGGGTGGCCGAATTGTTTAACGTGTGCTTTAGAGCAGGGTCGCCGTCCAACCTTGTAGATTTTTTTCCGTTTTCGTCCAGCTGCCAAAGACCTCTACGAATTATCGGTTCCTGTTGATAAGCTATGTTTATGGTGACACCCAAACAAAATCTTATCTCAATTCCTGTACAGGATTACGAGTCAACTTCGTAGGTTTATGAATCCTGCGGATCTTATTGTTTATTATGTAATTTAACCATACATTATGACGTCACATTAATAATTATGTCATTGTAATAATCATATTAAACATACATTATGCAAGAGCTAAATCTGCCTATTACAGGTCTTTTTTTTTAAAGCCTGAAATGTTATCTAAATTAGTAATTAGACATTAATTAACTTATCCAGACCATAATCAACTCTCAATGTCATCGCTAGCTTGCGATATTTACTGGATTAGGATCCGATTTACTGCTCAACTTTCATTCATGATTTAATCATGAAATGGATACTCGGGACTATGTTTTTATCTTACCGACTTCACTAATGATGATCGAGGCTAGGTCGAAAATTCTCGGTTCAGAGTAAATCAATTTGGCTGAAATTTTCAGCAAACTCCCTTTACATTCTCTACCTTTTAACTATTATAGTAAGAACTGTCAGCGCTTTACCTAATCTCCCGTAATGTATCTTTAATTATAACAATGTTATTAAGGATCTCTCTATCTATCTCTCTCTCTCTCTCTCTCCCTTGGGGTTGGATAGCCGAATGGTTAGCACGTGCGCGCTGTATCATACGGTCTGTCACTGAGTCAACTGGTGGGGTTTCAAGTCCCCGTTTGTACGTGACAAGGAGTAGGGTCGCCTGTCCAACCTCGTGGGTTTTATCCGGGTCTTCCGGTTTCCTCCCACTGCTAAAGACCCCTACGCGCAAGCGAATTATTAAAATAAAAAATTGAAGCATGTGTTAGTCCCGAAATGACCTAGTTTGTGTCGAGTGGACGTTAAATCTCTCTCTCTCTCTCTCTTTCTCTCTCACACACACACACACACACACACACCCACACACACAAAACGAAACGTAATTCACATCAATGATTTCCATACTTTCTTATAAATACCATATCTATAATCAGTCTATTGGGAATCCTTCTGTGTCTAGTCGAGTATAGTTGATAACATATTTCTTTGTTCGTGAAAGGTTCCCAAAGCTGATACTTTTGTTGAACTTTGTATTATAAGACTCGAAATCAAGTTCTGTCTACAGAAGGAACAATTTAGCAATTATGACAGTCTGTTTTTGTTTTATATCGTTCGAGTTATTACAACAAGTGGGATACATTCGAAACAGTGGCTCAGTGAGTAAAGACGTTGTCTCTTTAACCTGGAGATCCGAGAAAGTTCATAGGGATTTTCCGGTGTGGTTTCCCCTTTTCAGTGGCGCAGGACGGAAGGTCTGGCAAGGAACAACATATAGTAGTTCGGATGGGACGACAACCGAGGTCCCGTGTACACATTGGCGTGCACGTAAAAGATCCCTTGACTGTTGGAATTCGATATAGGAGTAGGCCGTAACGCCGTTGTCTGGGAAAAATTTCCTTCGTTGTCGCTGGTGTATGGCGTATGCATTTTTACATTCAAACAGTGTTTTCAACAGAGCCATGTTAGCGAATTGAGTATGACGCTTGTTCATTAACAAGTAGTTTCCCGGAATCGATCTTGGTGTTGGCAGGGAAACAGACTCAATATTTCCCAGTCGGATATTGGGAGGGGGGAGGGGTGTCTCGCAAGGAATAGTCACTGAGACAATGTATATACGCTGATCAAGTAAAAAAAAAAAAAACTTAACGGAGCTAAAGCGCTAATTTTCGGGATCTTGAAATTTACACAAATGGGTCGCAACGCATATAATAATGTATTATGGTTGTATATATAAACTGATTTACATTCAATCGTTTCCATTTTTACTCTTATTTCAAATCAGTTATGTTCGGCTAAATACGCCAAAAGTGTCAATCGAATGGCAATCTCTAGCGTCTGGTTACTCCAGTCTACACCGATAGTATTTATTGTGCATGCTCTCAAAATACGAATATGGCCTCGCCGTTTGACAGGAATATGTCTAGCCTCGTTCTTCGAGTTCCTTATTACAAATGGCGCTGAAACGCATTATGGTACACAATTCGTGTACGAATGGTAAAATGTTTATTTTGTCTTAAATACTGGATATCAGAAGCCCATCTTTTCACGATACGTTAATAACATCAATATTGATTTAAATTGACAAATAATTCGTGTTTTCAATGTCGAAGACTTTGGATGATACTGAGTTAGAGACTTAGCTACTTTAAAATTTGAAATTCTATGGCGTGTGAAGTTCCCCTCTCATAACAAACTGCATGGCGCATGTCTGTCTTTTTTTAAGCAGGTTGGGGCAGAAAAGTAGGATGTTAAACCTTATTTTATTTTATTTTATTTGTCAATAGACACAAAAGCCGGCTGTCGGACAGAACACATGTCGGATTCTATTTTAATTACTTATACTTACCATTAAAGGCGCATAGCATGTTGCAAACACCAAGATGATACCACCCAGCAGAATCATCATCTGAACCTCACTGTCCAACTTGTTAGGCTGTCTTCCCAAAACAGCAGTAGGTTTAATCTCCTTGGCCGCTTGCCTCATCTTTACCAACACGATCATTACCGCTACGTTACATAGGGCGGTTACGGCGATGACCAACAGCCCGACGGATGCGTAGAAATATGTAAAGATCTTTCCGGTTATTTCGTCACTGGCGTAATTAAAGAAGCACCAGGTGCCCGGATACTGCACACTGTTCTCTCCCAGGCCAATCATGGGCAGAGCAGCGATCACGGCAGAGGTAACCCAGATTCCCAAGACTATATACTTCACTTTCCCCGTGGAGAATCGGGTCTCGTAGGCATAGGGGTGGATGATTGCTACAAATCTCTCCAGGGCCATGGCTCCAACTATCAACAGCGTTGCTATTCCCGAAAATATCATCATGAATGAGGAATAATTGCACAGGTGTTCTCCGCCGATCCAGGTACGTCCTTTAGAATACACCACAATGGTAATTGGAGACACAGAAACTATTCCGAACAGGTCCGTACATGCTAAGGCCCCGACTAATCGATAAAATACCGTCTTTCTATGTTTCTTTTTAGAAGTACCCAACACAGCTAACGCCAACACATTGCCCAAAACACCGCTAGCAAACATGATAATTGGTACAGTCACGGTCAACAGGGCATTATAACTGCTTCTTTTGGTATCGGATGTTCTACTGTCGGTTGCATTGTCCCATCCGTCGAACTGACCCGTGTCCAGGACAGTTTCATTCGTCGAGAACAGTGTGGTCAGTACGTAACCCGCAGTGGTACTCATCACTTTTAGAGATCTGAACAGGTAATTCCTGGTTAACAATCACCGAAGATATGTTTAATTCCCTTGAGCACGTCTCATCGCCATAAGATTCAAATTGTTTTAATTCAATAACCGTGTCTTTGTTTTCTTTTCACTGATATTTTAATCCATTGTCCAAGGACATAGTATAACAAGTTATTAAAACAAACGAGTCAATTACCTGGATCACCGAATCACTCACTTGTCCTTGAAATCGTGGGATATTCGAGTTTTAGACGATCTTTTAATTCCCGTCACATTTAGCTTGATTTATTTGAACGCCGCATATCACCAACTCATCAGCATGCAGTTCATCTATTAACCAAGCTGGTAACCGCTCATCCACAAACAAACAACACTAAGACGTAACCACTTCAGTTCAAACACCCAAAACAATTTTTCAAAAAGAGAGAATATCGAGACTTTCTTTCGCGCAATTAGCAATATTACTGATGTGAAATAAGTTTGCGGTGTGTCATTTATGCGTACTGGTACATGTATTGATAATTTTCTTCCCTGTCAAAATAACCTTGTGACCTTTGCAGAAAAGCGGATCGCATTGGCTGAACTATTTACATAAATGTTAAAGACCTATTTCCTGGATAGTTTGTTCAACATCAAAAATCAAATAGGACATAAACAAGGTTGTAACAGTTTCATTTCAAGACATATAAAATCCATTTCTGAACCGCAAAACGGTAATCACATCAATCTTCGGTGTTATATTATATGTCGTTATTGAACTATAAATAAATCAGTTTCTTCTGTGAGTTAAACAGGAAATTTGGAAAACCATCCAAAACTATTGATACGGTATTAATTTCACTGTTAATGCGCATAAAGAGTAATTTCCGGCGAAATTTTCACATAGTAATTTAAAAGTTAATCACCTTCTTCTCCTAATTATGGTATGTGGTGATGTTAACTACTCTACTATATTGCTGAAGTATGTGTAAAGACAACTATGTGAATATCATTGTTTACGACATTAATAAATAACTTCCGGGGGAAATTTTCACACATCATAATTTACAAGTAATGTTAATATGCTATAACATTTCTACACAACTTGTGAACATCTTAAAAACACAAAAATATTTATTAAACTAATTTGTTTCACTTCATCGACACAAGGGCGAATGTAATCCAGTGGCTTTCAAATATTTCCAGTATTCTATCATTAATATCTTGGCTTATTTCTACATAATGTACAAAAATTGGAATAATTTCTGGTAGTGCTATATATATCTATAAAATAAATGAACAGTACTCAATCATTTAGTCCATCGGTTGTACTTGCTTTCAATCCAGTGAATACAATAAAGTATTTTGCTAATAACACCGGTTCTCTAGCTGTACATATCTAGCATACAACCCTGTCAATAATTCCAGTTAGTTGTCTTCTAAAAACGTAAATTAAACAGTAATAGTTTTGCGAAAAACGTCGGTCCATATCTCGTATACAGACATGGGAATAATTAGTTTTGTTTTGTTCTAAAACGAAAATAGCTAGTGGAAAGGCAGTTATTTAATTCCACACTTTGCTAATATGTCTTTTGTTCCTGTTAGTGTTGTTCTAAAACGCAAATAAATAACACTGGAACATTGTATCGTCTATTTCACATTGGCTATATAATCCAATACCTTGAGAATATGTGAAACGTTTTTTTCTAAAACGTAAATAAACACTAATGGAGCATTCGAATTCAACAGCGGTTATAAATCCAATACCTTGCGAATAACTCAACGGAGTACACAAACACGGGGGTGGTTTCTTAAATGATTCCTGGAACGATTCCTGCTAGTTGTCTCTCGTCTGCTATCACGTGAACCATCTATATATATGACACTCCTCCCCTACAGAAGGCGGGGATATATTGATATATATTTAATCTATGTATAACAGATGTTGTGTGAGGTGATACCAAGGTAAATAATATCGGCGTATACTATTGAAATAATCTCTAAATCTATCCTAAATAATATCATCGTAGCCTACTATTGAATTAATAAATAAACCAATCGTAACATCACTACACTATAACAAGCATTAATATCACTGATTAATTCCAACTGCAACCACAGTCCACGTGCAACATATCGGTACATATAATATATGTAGTTCGTTTAAGGAAATAAACACACGTCTATAACATAAACTATTAAATAAATATACAATCTTAGTTTATATAAACCGGTACAAACTTTATGAAATCCAGATTTATGTTAATATAGTACCATGTTCCACAAGTGACGGCAGTGGCTCGGATGCCAAATTCACACCAAATCACCAAGTTACACGGCAATTGTTCAAGAAATATGTGAGAAATTCTTCAAGATTAACACTTGGCTCTCGATGTACGACGCCACTTGCTTGGTAATTTTTAGCGGTTCCGTTACAACACATTTCTTGGTAGACTGCTATATAGCTAACTGTAATATCGGTAAATATAGTATTATCCAAGGAAATGAAATGAAATGGGGTTTAACGTCCTACTGTTCTGCTCCGAACTGGGTTAATGAAGACGGGCATATGCCATACAATGTGCTATGAGGTAAATTTTGCCCGGACTGAGTCACTACGGCCTATTCTTATATCGAATTCCAGCTGTCAAGGGATCTTTTACGCGCACGCCAATGTGTACAGGGGACCTCGGTTTTTCGTCCCATCCGAACGACTAGACAGCTGTCCTTGTCAGACCGTCACTTCCTGTATCACTGACAAGGGGGGAAATCTGGATGGACTTTCTCGGCCAATGCAGGGATCGAACATCCGACTTCCAGGCTCGCGAGCCAGCGTCTTACCCACTTAGCCACCGTGATCCCCATTATCCATGGACAAACCGCTTTAAACGGGTTACTCTGTGCGTCTTTTGAATTTTTCTGGAATTAAATTGTTTCCCCAACCGGGTCTATAATATAAAATACTAGACATTTTCAAAAAAACAAATTTTTATTTAAATATTTTTTTTATTCATTTATTTTTTTTATTTTTATTTTTTTTTCTACATTTTTCTATATTATACCATTGTGATATATATTTTAAAATTTTATTTACTAGTCTGTGAAATTTATTTTTATTTATGTATATAAACGTATTATTGGGATTATATTTAATTTTTCTCTTAGACGTCAACATATGTTTGGCGCAATATAGCCCGGATGGAATTGACGTACCCAAAAACCACATTTCTTCTTCTTCTTGTGAGGCTTAACGCCCGCTTCTACCTAGGATGATATCGCAGACAATCGGAAAACGGCAAACCCTTCACGCCTTAATACACGCTAAATTATACTTAAATTGATTCTTTAACATTTCATTAAAGTGGCATTATGAAAGATTTACATAAAGAGCTGACAGGTTTCGCTTTAATAGTTAAAAATAGAGTTATAGTCCTTGATTCACTTGCATCGCTCTAATGACCAAAGTTATCATCCGATCTGTATTAAAGATATATTATGGAAGATTAGATTAAGAGTTGACAGTTCTCACTATAATAGTTAAACAATAGATAATGTAAAGAGAATAGGCTGGAAATTTCAATCAAATTACTTAACTCTTAGCCGAGAAAACCGAATTTCAAAAACACTGTAAACTCGATTGGCATTATTACCATAGTAACGATAATAAACACAGTCTTGATTATCCACTTTTACGGTTAATCACGATTCAAATCTGTTTAATATCGTACCCATCAGATGGCATCAAGAGTTGATTATAGTCTCAACATGTTAATAAATAGTATTATAGCACTTAAGGCCTAAAGAAAGACCTGCCATAGGCAGATTTACCTCTTGCATAATGTATGTTTAAAAAAACAACTATACATAATCTCCCGGATTTTATTCAATCGGATTTAAACGAGGTCGATAAGAAATTTTCAGCGAAACTTGACAATGGCGCTGATATGTTCAAGGGCTAGACCTAAGTTCGAAACTGTCCACATATTTAGTCAAAACTGGCATAAAGTTTCGTCAAAAATTGGATATAACGTCCACAAGAAACTAGCGATTTAAAAATATTTGTTATTTAACAAGAATCCAATGTTGACCATATTTTTGGTGGTTTTGGCTAAAGCGAATTATGGCCATTTTGGTTTACACCTAATTTGACTGTATAATTAAGTTTTTATAGTCTGTAAAAATTGCTGAATATTACATTTAGATCAATATTTCGTAGCTTCCTTTGTAAATCACCCTAGAATGTTCAGGTAAATCGAGCCAGAGGCCTCTGAAAAGCTTCTTGTAGACCCAACAGTTCCGAGTCCATCCGACACGGGCTTTTGTTTATTGGTATATGAAAACGAATTACAATGAAATATGGAAATAATACCATGCAGTGTGCTGGGAGGGGCGTGTTACCCGGGTAGCCGCACGACTACCTACTACTATGTCCAGTTCCAATACAACTAGACCTCGACTATACGCTGTTCCTGCAACATTGCCATGAGCAAACCAAGCGGAGAAATCTCGAGGAATTTTCTCAACCAACACTGTGATGGAACTTGAGATCTCCTGGTTGCCTTACTAACTGAACCATCTTAGATAAAGGGGGGTTGAAAGGCCGAATGGTTAGCACGTGCGCGCTGTATCATAAGGTCTGCCATTGAGTCAACTGGTCTCGGTTTTCTCCGCGTACTCGGATTTCCTCCCACTGCTAAAGACCCCTACGCGCAAGCGAATTATTGAAATAAAATTAAACCATGTGTTAGTCCCGAAATGACCTAGTTTGTGTTGAGTGGACGTTAAACACTCCTCCCTCTCTCTCTCTCTCTCTCTCTCTCTCTCCAAAAGGAAACGTCTTTTGTTGTCCTACAGGTTGTAAAGTTTGAAGCCATTCTAATTACAAACATTACTAGAACGAGTCAACCTCCCAACAAAATTAGATGTCTCAACTTGGTTTGCCATTGTTGCAACACAACCTGTTATGATAGAAAAAAATGTTTAAACTATTAATTTTTCTTTTACTATCCTAAAAAATTAGACATTAAAAACTGCGGTCATGTTTGCAGAAAACACAAATGTTAAAGATGCATTATGCGAGAGCTAAATCTGCCTATTGCAGATATTTCTTTAGGCCTTAAATGTTACATACACTATTTAGACGTTTATCAACTTATCCAGACCATAATCAACTCTCGTTGCCATCGCTAGCCTGCCATATTTAGTGGATTTGAATACATATTGTGATAAATTAACGTAAAAATGGATAATCGAAACATTATCATCGCACCAACGTTAGTAATGACGATCGAGGCTAGCCTAAAATTGAATCGCTAATATCTTGGTTCAAAGTGAAGCAATTTGACTGAAATTTTCATAATAGACTGTTTTCATTATTTATGTTTTAATTCTAATAGCGAGAACTGTCAACACGCTATCTAAATCTCCGTCTTCATTATCCCAGTAGGAGCCGAACAGTAGGACTTTAAACTCCATTTCATTTCTCATTTTAATATATCTAAATCTTACATAATGCATCTTTAAGGTACGAGAATTGTCCGCAAAATATTTTAATTTTTTTTTTTTTATTTGAAACTAAACCCACAAAAACTCTGTTCCACTGTCCTATTTACAGGAAACACAAATCAAACCAGAAAGCAAAGTACGGGAGTCAAAAACAAATTGTCATTAAATAAGATAAGTCTAAACAAACAGTTGTGGATGAGTGCGAGAAAAACGCCAGGCTTGCATTTACATTTTACATTCAGTGCGTTTCGGTTATTCAGTATTTCAGGTTCATATTGTCGCTATCACGGATATTAGACGTTTTGCCTACAGATCATTACACGATCGTTTATTAAATAAATACATATTCCTGAATCTCACCTCGTATTTAATTGAATTATTAAGGTTTAGAAACATTGTTTCAAATGCTGTAAACATACGCTCGTGTCTGTGGTCGGTCAGGGGACATACCCCGCTGA